TCCTCTCTGCCAAACCATTCAATTGAGGCGTCTTGGGAGGAGTTTTCTGATGACGAATTCTTTGTTCCTTGCAATAAATATCAAATGGGCCACAATATTCACCACCATTGTTAGTGCGAATACATTTTAATTTCTTCCCCGTCTGTCTCTCAGCTAAGGCCTGAAATTCCTTAAACACGCCAAGTGCTTGATCTTTAGATTTCAAAGGATACACCCAGAGCTTACGAGAATGATCATAATGAAGGTCACAAAGTAAAGTGCACCACCTTTTGACTTTACTTTAAAAGGACCACACAAATCAGAGTGTAGTAGCTCCAATAAATCGGGCTTTCTTAAGGAAGGATGACTATGAAAGGAAACCCTTTTCTGTTTGCTAGGTAAACAATGGATACGCCTTTTCAGCTTTGCTTGTTTCACTCCAGAAAGCAAACTTCTCTTCGCCAAACACGTAATTTCCCTCTCACTTATATGACTCAATCTTTTGTGCCACAATTCTGATAAAGTGTCACTTTCCATCAGATTTATGGAGTCATTAAGAATAGAGCCTTGTGTCACATATAAATGACTAGACTTGACTCCTCGAGCCACTACTAACGAGCCCTTGGTGAGCATCCATTGGCCATTAAAGAGGGCAGTATGGTAACCTTCATCATCTAATTTCCTGCGGAGATCAAATTGAAAGAAAAGTCTGGAGCATGCTTGACATCTTGAAGAACTAACGTTGGACCATTATTAGTTTTCAAACAAACTGTGCCAACACCAAACACCTTAACTTCACTGGCATTACCCATCTTTAACACTCCAGAATCAACATGAGTATAAAATGAGAAAAAATCTTTTCTTGGTGTAACATCTGAGGTAGCTCCAGAATCTACTATCCAACTCGTCTCATGGGATACCAAATTGATGACATTTCCATCATAAGCAAAAAGAAGGTCATCTCGAATAATAGCAACAACATTGTTCTCGTTATTTTCAAATTTCTTTCCTTCTCTAATGTCTTGCATCAACTTTTGGCAAAACCTTTTGATGTGTCCTTTCTTGCCACAGTGGCTGCATGTAATATTATGGTATTTGGACCATGACTTACTTCTACTTTTACCTCTATTCCTCGATCCTCTTGTTCTATCTCTCCCCCGGTCTTCTGTAACCAAGATATCTGCTTGTGAGGAGGAACCCTGATATTTTTTCCTTACTTCCTCGCTCAACACACCACTCTTGGCATATTCCATGGTCACCTTACCTCCATGAGCTGAATTTGTCAAAGAAACATGAAGAGTTTCCTAAGAGTCTTGCAGAGTATTAAGAAGCCAAAGTCCTTGTATCTCATCATCAAAATTAACTCCCATTCCAGACGTTTGATTAAGGATGCCCCGAAAATTATTTATGTGATCAAGGATAGGGCTTCCTTCCTTGTATTTAAAGGTCATCAATTGCTTTAGCAGGAACAACTTGTTGTTCCTAGTTTTTGAAGCATAAAAAGTCTCTAGCTTTTTCCACAATGATCTCGCATGTGTCTCATTCACAATATGGTTGCGAATATTATCTTCAACCCATTGTATTATATATCCACATACTTGTTGGTGCTCGAAATCCCAATCTTCATCAGATACAGTCTCGGGTTTATGAGCTGCAAACACGGGTAGATGCATCTTCTTCACGAACAACAAGTCTTCCATCTTGCTTCTCCAAACATTATAATTTCTCCCATTTAAACATACCGTCTTGCTCATATTCGTCTCCATTCCGTAACAACCCGGATATATATAACCAAGGCTCCGATACCACTGTTATGTCGAGGAAGAGGCAAACCCGAAAATAAAGAAGATAAAGAACACCAAATTTTAACGTGGAAAACCCCTTCAAATTGAAGGTAAAAATCACGGGATCACAAAGATCCAAAAAGCTCCACTATAATGATAAGAGGGTTATAAAAGTTCTCCAAATTAGCTACACAACAAATGCCAAACATGGAGAAACAAGAGCAACAATTGAAAAGGAGGAGAAGTCACAAAATTGGAGCTGTTGTTCGGGGCTCGAAATCAAATGCTATGAACCTCCAAATCTGATCTCCACCGTTCAAATCGAAGAGCAAGATGTTACGAACACTCAACCAAAATTTCAGCCCGATTCAACGGTGAACGAATCGGTAAACGGGATTTGAAGTTGGCTGGTCGGAATAAAAAACCTGCAGCAAAACGAATACTTTTCTTTTCTCTTCTCTCTTGATGAAAGCTCTCTCAAAAAAATCACTCTTATGTGCTTAAGTCATTCAAAGACTTGTATCAATGAACATAGAACAATTCTCCAAGATTGTCCTATTTATAGATCATGAGTGGTGCTTTCTCTTAAAGCCAAAACCCACTCAAAATAGGAATAAACACCGAATCCAATTCCGAATAGGAATGAAAACCAAACGAGAATAGGATTAGGCCATTGGGCCTTTGGCTGGACAATATGGGCATATGCCAACACCAAGTCCCAACTTTATATATATATATAAGGGAAGTTATTCTTTTCGTATCTTTGTTTTTTCTTTCCTCCTTTTTTTCTAGTAGATAGATGGTTATAATAGTCTTCGATAGTAACGAATTGATATCTTGTTATATTTTGTCCTGGAAATATAAATGAATTGGCTTAGGCAGGTGCAGTATTTTTTATAGGGACATACATTTATGGGAGGCAAAGAAGGGGCCATTTTAAGGAACAGTTGCTCTGCAACTCGCACATGCCCTGCCTTTTGGACATAAATTGAAAATGAAAAGACTTTCATCACTCAAATTGCTTTGCTCCCTCGTGATTTCACACTCATTAATAATAATACATAAAATTGGACCATCACATTGTGTACTACTCCTCCCTCTCTTTTCTAACATTTGCTTTCACATTTTCCATCTCACATAACTAGCTGTTCTAATTTCTAAACTATCTAAATAGTCTATTTTATTTTCTTTCTAAATAAGGAATTTTTAACGTATTGTTCAGAGGCAGAACTAGGATTTGAATTCTATGGGTCTTTTAAATTACTGGGTTCTAAATTAATAATTTATACATATTCATTGGATTTCTTAATATAAATATAGAGTTTGAACAAAACTTAAGCTGAACCCACAACCAGCATTGTAGCTCCGTCCCTGATATTGTTGCTATTCTTGTTTAAGATTTAGGGGTGTCGGCTCAAGTATAAAATAACTACAAATTAATCTTTATGTAAACAATAATTAAAACTTGATAATAATAATAACTAACACATCAGTCACTATTTAAAAATTGCGTTAATATACAAAAAAAAGATCCGCGTTTATATAACTTTATTCGTTAGTATTCCATCCGATCCACAATAAACGATCATTTTATGTTTGACACATCCATTAAGAAAATACGAACTCTTAGAGAAAAAAATATATATTCACTAAATATACCTTAATTAATTATTACCTTGACACATTAGGATATGTAAATAAAGGTAAATTTTGGAAAAATAAAATTAATTCTTTCTTGATTATGTAAATATATACTCCCTCTGGTCCACAATAAGTGATTTTTTGGCCTTTTACTTGTGGTCCAAAATAAGTGATTTTTTCAGATTTCAAGAATGAATTAATTAATTTTTCCTACATTGCCCTTGGAGTAAATAATGTTGGAGTATGTGTTAGGAGTGTTTATGTGAAGAGATAGTAAAGGTTAATATAGTCAATTGCAATGCTAATTAATGTTAAAATGTGAGTTTCTTAATATGTGTGAAAACAATCAAAAAATCACTTATTTTGGACCGGAGGGAGTACTTATTTTGGATCAAAATAACAAAAATACACCTTGCTGGAAAAGAATTGACACCTGGCAGCTAAGTCAAACTTTACACACCACCCACATGGGGTTAAAATAGTCAAATTTTAACTAAATATTGTACGGCTTTTACTAATCCATAAAATTAACTGTTTGTGTGACCCTATGTGATATAAATAATTTGCTGGCCTTTCAGCTTTTGGTTTGTCCCATTTTTTCTGGATTGGCTGGTTTTTCAATATAGCCAATTAATAATTGACAAGTGCCAACCTGCCACTGCCAACTGCTAAGTAGATAGAGGAGAGAGCTGTATATATTGTACTGCTTTCCTGCTACTCTTTACTCTTTCACAGTTCAGCGGCGGTGCATTTATTTCTTCTAATTTTTAACTTTCGTATGAAATTGAACTTACTCATTTTATGACATTATTTGCTAATGTCCCAACTACGCGATAACAACAATAACAATATATCCAATATAATCTCGTAGGTGGGGTCTGGGGAGGATAATGTGTAGGCAGACCTTATCCCTATCTAGAAAGATAGAAAGGCTGTTTCCGATAGATGTTCACGATAAAGTATCACGTAGTTGGACGTGATACTTTATTGTAAACGTATTTCCAAATTTGTGTGATTAAGATTGGAATCTCACATTATAATGTCAAGAAAGTTGCCCACTCTTAGGCCCCGTTTGGCCATACATTTTGGCACCGTTTTTTCAAATCTTTTTTGAAAACATTGTTTGTTCATAGATTAATGATCTATTTTTTGAAAAATTTCTGAAATTATTTTTCAAGTTCCCAAAATCTAGTTTAGGGTAGATTTTGGGTGAAGCTTGTTCTCCCACTCACAAAACTTCAAATTTTTTTCAAATAAAATGCATGTCCAAACATAATTTCAACTTTTAAAAATTATTTTTCAAAACTATTTCAAAAATTATTTTTTTAAGTTTCAATTAAATTTATGTCCAAACGCTAGCTTAATTAATCTCTAAAGATATTTCGGCTAATTAAAATGAAGATAGGGACAAACCAAGATGATACTTGCATGCAAGGACGGACTTGTGATTTTTTCTTGTATTTATTTTTTAATTATTAGAATGCATGGTTTTCCTCCAAAATTTGAAGGCCTATAAATGCATGCACACCAATTCACACCAACCCCTAGTAGAATTTAAGAAATCAGCAGCTAACCTCCCCTCCCCTTCCACCCACCCAACCCCACCCCACCCCACCCCCTCTGTTTCTTGATCCCTCATAATAAACCCTTCGCCATTGACCCCTACCAACAGCCTTATACTACAGCACACTTCCACTCAAAAACCATCACAAATTTATCACAAGAAAAATCAAGAATCCTTCGTGTAGTAAGCCAAGAACTGATAACGAAAATGTCTTTGAGCAAAACTCTACTTCTTGCTCTTTTTCTCCTCTATCTTTCCCATTTCACAACTGGAAAAAAACCAAACAAATCATCATCTTCTACTGACCTCGTCCGCACATCTTGTATGCACGCCAGCTATCCGACGATTTGCGTCAGAACACTTTCCTCCTACTCAGGTTCAGCAATCAACACACCTCAAGATTTAGCTCAAGCCGCTGTAAAAGTAAGCCTTTCTCGAGCCCAAAAAGCGTCTGATTTTCTCTCCGAACTGAAAGTTCAAAGCAAAAGAGAAAAAGGAGCATTGAGTGATTGTGTCGAACAGATGGGGGACACAATGGACGAGCTTAGCAAAACTCTATCAGAACTCAAACATTTGAGCAAAGGGAATGCATTTAAATGGCAAATGAGCAATTTGGAGACGTGGGTCAGTGCTGCTTTGACAAATGAAGATACTTGTATTGATGGGTTTAAGGAAATTGACGGCAAATTAAGGTCTGATGTGAAACGCAAGATTATTAATGTTGCTAGAGTTACTAGTAATGCACTTTACCTTATCAACCGACTTGATGATCCTAGGAACAAAATTGCTACTCATCCTTGATTATTCGGTTGGTTAAATTAATCTTTTTTATGGTAACTATATTTTTATAATATAAACTATTGTAATATTTGTGCAAATGTAATGTAAGATTGTCTAAATTTCAGTTTGGTACCTATTCTTGTGTGTTGATTTTATTTGTTTATTACTACACAAATTGTCTCATTCCATAGCTCCAATTATGTTTTTTGCTTGACATTTCTTGTTTGCTATTGGATCTGCAAATTAAATCCCTCTATTTTAGTGATTCAGTTGAAGTTTTGAGCATAAAAAGAAATGAGGTTGGAATCTAGCCCGTTATTTGTGTAACAATCCTTTTTAGTATATATTATCTCCCCTCCGGTCCAAAATAAGTAATTTTTGGCCTTTTTCTTGTGGTCCAAAATAAATGATTTTTTCAGATTGCAAGAATGAATTAATTATTTTTTTCCTACATAGTCCTTGAAGTAAATGGTGTTGGAATATGTGTTAGGAGTGTTTATGTGAGATAGTAAAGGTTAATATGGTCAATTCCAATGCTAATTAATGCTAAAAGGTGGATTTCTTAATTTGTATAAAAACATCCAAAAAATCACTTATTTTGGACAGGAATGAGTAAGTAGAGGTTGGAATTGAAGTTAGAAAAGAGGGCGTAAAATATGTTAGAGTAGGAGTAAATATTAATTTCGTTTCTAGTCATATTAATTGGTTTCTACATGCTAGTTTTTTTTTTTTTTTTTTTGGTAATAAGTTTACTCGTACTAGCATCTCTTAAAGATGAACGATGGGTAGTTGGTAGAATTAATGTCTTGTGAATTTAGGTTGGAAGTGTCCCTTCTACAGCAAAAAACTAAACACTCTGCATGTTTGGCCATAATGACCTCTAACTGAAAATTAAATTTTACCATAACCTGAGATTAATAGCATGTTTGGTCTAAGCTTCTAAAATCAGCTTATTTTGAAGCTGTTTTTTAAAAAAGTACTTTTGGTAAGAAACAGATTGTGTTTGGCTAATTAATTTAAAAAAACCTTTTGAGCAGCAATTAGCGTTTGGCCAAGCTTTTTAAAAGTATGTCTAAGTGTATTTTTCTCAAAAGTAATTTTCAAAAAAAGTAATTTTAGAGAGAAGCTGCTTTTTTTGTTCTGCTTATGTTTAAAAGCATTTTTTTTCTTCTAAAAGCTTGTCCAAACACCTTAATATTAGATTTTTTTTAAAGTAAGTATAAAGAAGAAGCTCGGCCAAACATGCTAAAATGGGCGAGGCAGCTTATTCACGTACATAGTTTTGCGTTGTCTGACGGTCAATTTTGACTGGTTTTTTTCTTTTTCGAAAGAACAACGTCTATTACTTCATTAAAAAATAATTTGTCCAAAATAAGGCTGGCAAACGGCCCAGGCCGGGGGCCTAAACGGGCCTCGTGGGCCGGTCCTGTGTGGGCCAGGGCTTCGTGGGCCGGGCTTAAACGGTTCCGGGCTTCCTTTTGGAGGTAACCGGACCGGGACCGAGACCATGAACTAATGGTCCCGGGCTAAGTGGGCTGGTCCCGGGCCTAAGTGGGCCTGACCTTTTTTTATTTTATATCTAAGGCAATTTCTTGTAAATTGTATGTATATATATATGTGTGTGTC